GGAGGCAGCGCCCGCCGCGGCCCCGCCATGTCCCAGCCCGGCAAGAAGCCCGCCGCCTCCCCGCGGCCCCGGCGCGCCCGCCACACCCAGGAGGTGAGTGGCGCTCCTGTCCCTGCCGCGGGGCTGCGTCTTGGAGGGGGCCGCCTTGCTCGGGCGTTGCCGGGCCTGTCGCCCCTTGCGCCCCCTCTAGGGCCGGGAAGGGGCTCGGGGCGCTGTGCTCGCCGCCAGGCAGGTGCCTGGAGGCGGCCGGGGATTCCCGGGTCCGGGTCAAGGGCGTTGGGCGTGGCGCGGGCAGGGGCGGGGGAGGGGACGGCGTCGAGGAAAGTTGGCTGGTTGAGGCTTGGGTAAAATGAGGATGAGGATGAGGATGAAGGGGGAATAAAGTTCATTCAGGCCCTCGGAGTGAATGGGGTCGTTTCCTGGTCAGTGGGATCCTGTCTTCCGCGTCGAGTCTGGGCCTCAGGGTGTGGCCGCCCGGAGGAATGACACCTCTTCCCTTACTAACCCCAGCCCAGCAAGGAGGGGCGGGGCCAGGCCGACGGGGGCGGGGCCTATGATCGACCCCGCCCCCAGGTCTCTGCCCACCTGGCAGCTTCGGGATGAGCCGAGCTCAGTGCCAGCCAGGTACCGGCCAGGCGGAGCGTGAGCCCGGCGCCCCCAGCACAGAGCCCCACGCCCCCGCCGGGTCCTCCACCCCGCGGATCCGAGCGAGCCGGTTGTCGCCATGGCATTCGCCAGCTGGTGGTACAAGACGGTAAATAGAAGCGGTGGTGCCAGGACAGAACGGGGAAGGAAGTGTGCCTGCTGGGTGTGCGGACGAAGTATTGTCCGAGATTTGGCGGGGCAGGGGTGGGGTCCGGGTGCGACCTCCTCGTGGACCTCCAGGGTAGGCTCGCGAGAGGCCGGGGACTCACCCTCCTGTGGTATGTGTGAGCGCGCCCGGGCGTGCGCCTCTCCAATGTTTCTTCCGTCCTGGTGTAATGCACAGGACTCTCAGGTTGAATGGGACAGGAATTGTTGCTGGAGGAATTCCGTTCCAGGAGGCGGATTCCTGGCTGATTCGGACGCAGCTCGCAAGAGCTCAGAGATCTGGGGTTTGTTATTCACCCCTAAGTAAAGCTCAAAACCTTTAGAGGAAGGTTGTCGAACGTGCATTCGTCAACGCAAAGCAAGACAAGGTGGCTGGGATGGGAGGTGCTGAGAAACATCCCGAACACCAAGGACAGAAGCAACTGAGATCAAGATCCTAGGATAGAACGGTGGGGGAAGGGGAGAGAGAAAGAGAGGAAGTGAGAGAGAGCCAGAGAGAGCCAGCGAGAGCTGCCCTGTACTTTATTACTTTGGATGAGGTACAAAGATATTACATTTGTTTAGTGCATTGAATGTCTGTCCTACCAATTAGGTGTGGTATCCAGTCAAGCTGGCACGTCTAATGTTTTGGAACTAGGAAACAGGATTAAACATTAGATTGCTTTCCAAAAAAAAAAAAAAAATACAAAAGTTTTGTTGATGGAAAGAGCCAATATGTGTATGTCCCACTGATTTGTGCTGAGAATTTCAAAAAAATTAGGTAACACCTCTCTCCTTCTCTCTCAGCAAGGGATATTGGGAAATACAAAGACATTGTTATCAGACATCCTTTGGAGTTAGAAACCTTGTATTGGAATCAGGAAATTTTCTTATCAGCCACTGGTCTTTTATTGAGAATCTACTACTACGTGCCAGAGAGTGTACTAGCCTGCAGGTACATAGTGGAGAAAACAGAGTTTTCTCAAATGGCAATGAGTCAACCTTTTTGAACCTGTTTTCACATCTGTAAAATAGGTATGTAAAATAAATCAAGATGGGGATTGCTGGGTCATATGGGAGGTCAATTTCTAGTTCTTTTAGGAATCACCACACTGTTTTCCATAGAGGCTGAACTAGTTTGCATTCCCACCAACAGCCTAGAAGCGTTCTCTTTTCTCTGCATCCTCATCAGCATCTGTTGATCTTGTTTTATTAATGATGGCTATTCTTACTGGAGTTAGGTGATATCTCAGTGTGGTTTTGCTTTGCATTTCTCTGATAATTAATGAGGATGAGTATGTTTTCATGTATCTGTTGGCTGCTCATGTGTCTTCTTTTGAGAAGTATCTATTCATGTCTTTTGCTCACTTTTTATTGGGACTGTTTGTTTTTTTCCTTTAGGCACGATTGAATTTCTTGTAAAGCCTGGATGTTAGGCCTTTGTCAGATATGCAGTTGGCAAATATTTTGTTCCCATTCTATGGGCTGTCTGCCCGCTCTCTTGATGGTTTCTTTTCCTTTGCAGAAGCTTTTCAGTTTGATGAGGTTCCACTTATCAATCTTATCTCTTTTGGCATGGGCTTTTGGGGTTTGATCAGGAATTGGTTGCCTATTCCGATTTCCATTTTCCTGCACTTTCTAAGATTCTTAATGTTTGAGGTTTTATGTTTAGGTCTTTGATCCGTTTGGAGTTGATTTTTGTGTATGGTGGTAGGTCGGGGTCCTGTTTCACTCTTCTGCACATGGTTAGCCAATTTTCCTAGCACGACTTACTGAATAGGTTCTCCTCTCCCCAGTGGGTGTTGTTGTAGGCTTTGTTGAAGATGAGAATTGGTTGAGAAATTGAGGTTTTGCTTCCAGAATTTCTATGCTGTTCCATTGGTCTATATGCCTGCTCTTATACCAAATACCAGATTGTTTTGGTTATTGTACAAAATTATGGACTTTCCAGCAAGTTGGATGGGTTTAGAGTCTATCATACTCAGTGATCTATCACAGAAACAAAGAACTGAGTACCACATGTTCTTACTCATAAGCAGACCCTGAACATTTACCATAATACAATAAGAAAGGGATTGGCTGTAGCAGGGACACTGCTAGGGTGGGGGGGACACCTAGCATCAATAAGGGTACCTGATCTCAAACCAGGCGAAGTGGGGACCTAAGGGAGGCCTAAACTTTACCTGTATGATGACCACTTATATACCTAATTCTGAATTGTACTCCAAATCTTTAAAATTAAAAAAAAGTTTTAAAAAAGAATTGGTAATTCCAATTTCCCTTGAGATATTTCTGTGTGATTGTTTTCCAACACATATTCCAGGCTTTTAAAATGTAGCATTTCATCAGTGTGCTAAGAGCAAACGTTTGCCTTGAGTCATTATTGTTCCAAGGTTCTTATCAAAATGTGCCATGTGCACTGTTTGCAAATATGATGGCCATGGTTCAGAATTCGCAGCAGACTCCAAGCTTATGATTCCCTAAGGGTCACTACACTGGGTTACTTGGTTGAAAATAGTTTAAATCTATCCTTTTAATCCTGGTATGTTTAATCATAGTCTGATATTTTTGCTGAAACCTGTCTTAGAATCCAATTTTGGAACTAGTATAAAAAGTTTTTGCTGGTAGGAAGTTTCTAATAGGCAACATACCTGTGAGCAAGCTTTAACTTTCCCCAAACCAGTGCTGTCCAATCGAAACATGGTGTGAGCCACATATGCATTTTCAATTTTTTTTTTTTTTTTTTTTGAGTCAAGGTCTCACTCTGTAGCCCAGGCTGGAATACAGTGGTATGATCACGGCTCACCACAGCCTTGATCTCCTGGGCTCAGGCGATCCTTTCACCTTAGTTTCCCAAATAACTGAGACTATAGGCACGTAACACCATGCTTGGCTAATTTTTTGATTTTTTAGAGAGACAAATCCTTGCTATATTGCCAAGGCTGGTCTCAAATTTCTGGGCTCAAGCCATCCTCCTGCCTCAGCCTCCCACAACAAAATACACATGTACAGAAATGCAGTTTTCTATATAGCTTTAGAGAGTTCAGAGATCTCCCAAAAGACCATCCATAAATCTCCATGGAGTCCATGGAGTCGGTTTATAACACATATATTACATATACAATCCAACATGCATGTAATATATATACATATATACATAATACATGTTATGTATGTATAATATATGTATATCGATTTATGTATGTATATATAGATATAGATATACACAGACATATCAGAAAACTTCTCATAAGTCCTATAATTAAAATACTTTTATGGGATCCTTCAAATACTGAAAAAGTTTGTAAATGACCTAACTTTCAAAATTTAGTCAGAGTAAGATAAAATAATTAAAAGTTGTATCTAAGAAATATTTGTTTGAGTATGTCATCTATAAAACTAGTCAGTAAGATATTACTATGTATATTTCCACATTGAATGTCATCAACACTACTGATTTTATCTTCTAACGAATTATGTAGTTGCATATGTATATATATTTAAAAACAACTTTAAAAACTAGATTTGGAGAACATCTGATGAGCATTCGATCCAGCATGAAGGAGGGCAAGTTTGGCTTTTACTAGCAATCACTTTCCTGACTCATACGTTGATTCTACTAGGCCATGTTAATTAAAGGTGTTTCTTAGCCTAATTAGACCCAGGGATCCAGTGACAGCATTATCAAGGAGCCCAGTCATTTGGGAGTCCCCATCACTGCTGTCAACCTGGAAAGAGTGTTGTAAGCCTTCCATGGCAAGACAGATCCTATGGCTGCAGTGAATTTCAGCAGTAAGGAAGACAAAATTATAAATCCAACAAAAATGGGCATAATTTAGGGTAGTAGGAATGCAGAGGTCAAAAACAACTTTTCTCTTTTGCCTGGCAATCCCTGAATTAGTTTGCTTTTCATTACCCTTTTAAACTAAGTGTAACATCTGATGTTTTCCTTTAATCAGTTTTGACATTTCCCAGAAAGTTAATTATATTCTACAAGTGCTTTTTTAAAAGAATAATGTGGGGGTGGGAACAGTGGGTGGTCATTTGAGATCCCTAGGTAGATAGGTGAGTAATTAGTTCTGACTAGGTTGTCTTCACAGACACAAGACTGCACTAAGTAGACCATCTTCTTTTTCCTTGAGATATTTAAACATGAAAATCCGATTAATGTGATGCTAAAATTCTGTTCTTTTAGTTGTCTCCCTTTCTTTTCATGAAAATGTACCCAGAAAGCTTTATAGCTACCATAAATGGGGGGGGGGGCT